GCGTAATATCTGTATTTATTCCTACTATTACCGGTGAATCGTGAACGCTTTAGCCAATGTTCGGAGCGTGTGTTAATCGATTTACGCGCATTATTATTGTTAACGATATAATTGTATTTACTTTTATAAAATAATATGTCGGGTATTGTAATTAAAATTCTATACCGAAATTGCTCTGTATCCAATGAGAGACGAATAAATAAAACGGTCGATATAAATCCTTTCTTATTGGCTGTCGCAACAGAGTCGCGTCCTGAATATCAAGCTTTTCTGGAACAACGTTCGGACACCTCCAATTCTGTTCGGTAGTAGAAGTCGACGAAAAGTCGGACGCCTGCAAATTTTCGCTCTCCGACTTATTATCGATTCGTACCACTGCCGCTTGCGCAACGCCGATCGGGCGTTGCAGCAGTGGCGAAACGCTCAAACTGTTGGCCAAATTACCGGCAGTCGATCCTGGCCAACAATTTCAGCGTTTTTCCGCCGTGCACCCCAATTTACCCCAATTAGGGTTGATCGTACTATCATGAACGTGGTATAGGGGGGCGGGCTAGATACCCGATACCAATTTTCTCGCGGAAAAATGGGGCTTCGAAAGCACCGCGTCGTTACACTTCCGAAATTTAAGTCTCGTAGCTGGAATCGAGTATCGCGTATGCCTCGTTTCTATTACGACACGCTTTCCTCCTCCTACGTCTACTCCTACACCTCGTCCCAAGTCCGTTCTCGATCGGTGGACTTACCGTTTGATTTCGAAGCACACGGAACATTTCATGTTTCGTCGAATTATACCTTCGTTCGATCTCCGACAAGACGGTCAAATTATTGTTTCGTCGGATGAATTCACGAATTCGCAAAAAGCGGTGCTTCCATCTTGAAAAGTTCAGGGTGAACGAACATACCGTGGGACGAGATCGTGGGTCGATGCAAATATTTCAAATGCGACGACGATTCCTGAATTTGCTCTGTCGGTGAAACGAGAATTTTTGTTCCCGTTCGTTAACGAACGTATCTCTTGGGGATTGCTTCCTGGTCACCAGCAGCTGGTGACCAGGAATCATCGCCAACCCTTTGATATATCGCCGCCTTCGTCGCGAACCTTTCCGCTTCCTACGATCGATCGCGAACCTTTGCGGGCTACAGTCGTTCGATGTACAAAGTTATGCCGTCGACGAAACGAAAATGTCGCAGAAGCGGTGCAAAATAACTGCTAAGGTCAGATTCGCGATGAAAAAGGCGAGAGAATCTCGTCGATTCAGCGATCGGAGCCACGACCGTAAATGGCTCCGCGGAGAAAGGTGCGCGTGGTGCGGTGTGAGGTAGTTTTTCTTAAAACCGGTAGGAACACTTTCGGGGAAGTGAAATTTCCATTATCCCCGCGATTTAATGGCTCGCGTGTTACAGGAAATCGCCATCGATCCCGCTTTCGTGCATCGCTCGCCGGTTACGCAATCGTTCGATCGCGCCCGCCGAATTTCGGCAGGATTTCTAGTTAACAGCTTCCACGTGGAAAAATCGCACCGAGCTTTGAACGATCGCTGAAAGTTGGGTGGCCAGCGAGAGGGAGAGAACACCGATACGATCGACGGGAAGCGAGGAGTTCTCGTTGAACGAGGGCTACGGTGATCGATTCACGGAGCTTGGACGATCGATGGACCGGCCACCCCCGTTGCAAAAATCGGAAACGAACGATGGCCTCTTCGATTCGAGAAATGGTAAACGCGACGAAAAATGATGCTCGAAAGATCGCGAGATCGGCTGGAAAACTCGAAACCCAGTTTCTCCGTCGATCTACCGTTCGCAGAGAGAAGTTTAATCGCGCGCGGTCGTTATCTCGGCTATTTAATAAAGCGTGCGAACGCGAGCAATCCGCGATCCGTCCTTCCTTGAAATAACGGAGAACCGCTACGAAGATTCGAGCGTAAACGCGGATAAGATATCGCCGAGCCGCGAGTTCTATTTTCAAACACAATTATCCACGAAAGCTCGATAAGAAGCCACCGGAGCCCTTCGGCGGAGTCCCTTTCGAATCCGTTCGAGAGGAACGAAACGAGAAAAGAGAGCGGGGGCAATGATTCGTCCTTGTTTCCACAGGTTTCTACCTTGTTTCTCGCGGGATCTCGAGATCAACGTGATTAATTAGAGAGCCTGGCTGCGCCCTTTTTTCGCCGGGCTTCCGTTCTGGGTTAGGGTGCTAGCCGGAGCGGTCGAAGGCGCGCAACAAGTGTCGCGGCGAGTTTACCTCTCTCGGATGGAAACGCGCCCCGATCGCTGAAAATTCCATTTACAAAGGCTGAGGCCGATGGGAGATAGGAGCAGGCGAAGACCGGAAACGCGGCTGGCTGGATGCTGGGTGCTGTCCGCCCGCTGCGTCTTCTTAATTCGTCAAGCCAGCTTTTCGCTGATTCTTCGGACTCTAGGTAATACCGCCATCCCCGTGTGGTTGCCGGTATCGTCCTCTTGGTTTAGCGCAACTCTTTCCGAACGTGCCCCGAGCTCGTATTTACAATTACGAGAAGTTACAAATTCTGGAGAGTGGTACGGTAATGTCTCTCTAATCGACGCTCGGATTGTCCATAGAAATGGACAATTTGGAAAGAGGAGATACGAATAATTTGAGTCTTGCGCCTCGTTTTTATAATTACCGATTCTCAACAACTGCAAAAACGAGGCGCAACACTCGAATAATCGTGTCTCCTCTTCTCAAATTGTCCATCTTTGCGCACAATCCGAGCGTAAATTAGGGAGACATTATTGTATTTCGGTAGTTCGGTCTCCGGTGCGCGATAAAATTCAGGAAATATGTTTCTCTTAGCAACCCAGCGAATCCATCTCCTCTAAAACGTGCGTGCTAACAGCGAGAACGGTTTCCAGGCCGCTCGGATCGCGCCGGCGACGTTCAACGAATAAAACGGCGCTCGTCTCGCGGAAGATTTCCTCTTCGTCGCCGTTTCCTTTTTATGCGCTGGTCTTTTACGAGCCCCGCACTCGGCGAATTCCCGATCCGGACCACGGTTATCCCGTGAGAAATCGAACACCGGCGAATTTAAAATTTTCAAAATTGTTGCACCTCGAAGCACCGCCCCCCGCGATGCTCGTTTCACGGTTCTCGATCTCGTTCGCGTCCAATTTCTGCCAGCGATCGGCGCCGTGAAATTTAATCTCACCTGGTTCAACGATCGACGATTCTTCAGATTACAAATTGATTTTCTCGATGATAAATTCATTCGCCCTCGAGGTATGAAGATTTTAACGAGTTAAACGCGCGTAAAAATTCAACGCGGAGGGTTGTTTTTCGGGACAGAGGGAAGCGGCCGCCGTTAACCCGCGGCTCGGCCCTGCAGCTTGATTAAACGCGTCCTGCAAGTTGCAATAATTGCGGGGCCTTGTGAAAAATTCAACGGCCGGTTAGGTCACCGAGCAGCCGTGCCTTGAATTTTCCACTTTGACGTGGGCTCGGGGGGGGGGGGGGGGGGA